AAGATTCGGCTTGAAAAAGACGTCCCCGATGCTATAATCTCGGACATATGGTTATTCCGGCCCCTTAAAACACACACACTTTTGTTGAAAACAAAACAAAAAAAAACAACAACACATTTTCTGTAGTATTTTTTCAAGTGTTGTAAAATGAATACGAAATTCCTCTTATGCCGCCGATTATTTTTAGAACACAAACATATAAGTTTTTTTATTTGATTTATTCAAATAAACATAAATCACTTCAGCGCCCGCAAATATCGTTTTCAAATTAAAGTTTCGTAAGATATGTTGATGAATTCCTGATGCTAAACTGTAAGTCATTCGTATATATTTGCGTTTTTTGTTGTTTTTTGTTGTTGTTTTTTAAGCCTCTTATTCTTTAATATTTTTTATGTATCTCATAATCTGTATTGAAAATTTGAATTTTATTACACATGGACTATCAAATTATGATGCGTTGCCCTAGAATTGAATAAACTTTCTAATTACACAATACGGGATCATTCATTTGATTGAAGACTGATCTTTGCGTCTTTCTCTGAAATAATTATTTCCTTGTTAAAACATATTTGACCACATATTTCTGTCATTTAACTGTTCACTTTACAGCTATATGATAAAGCGGTTTATGAGCGTTTTCCGCGTACAGCCTCCTAGGGTGTACTAATAAGTTAGTTTTCCTTAGTTATCACGCAAGCACGATCCATGTCTCTGATGTAAGCGACAATTTACCATTATTTGTCTTTAAAAACTATTAAGGACTATTAATGGTTTATATCAACAAAAGAACATGCATGATATTGAGACTACGGTGTTGCAACGTTCTAGTTAATGACCCGTCATAAACAGTTGGTCGCTGCGTTGTAATTGGAAAATTGTTATCAAAAATAATAAAGAATATTTGCCACCTAATTAAAGCATTTACTTATAAATTTTCATTTATGCTTTTTGTTAAAAAAATATTGATAAAGTTATTATGTAGAAGGGTTTTCATACCAGAACTATTTATTACAGACGTACGTATGCCTAAACCTGATTACCGCTGCAGTATGACGTCACGGAGTAGTGATTTTGAAAAAATAACAAACAAAAATCAAGAATTTTTCAGAGTATTATTATCTGATATGAAATTAAAGAATGAAAATATTTTCATATTGTAAATGTCTGTGATGAGTGATGAGTCAGCTTAGAAAAAATGAAGGTACTATTTTTTGACCTGATTACCGCGGCAGTAAGATTTGACGGACGGTATTAACATTGGGTCGGCATAGCCTCCCCAAAAACGATACAAGCATAATGTACTTTGAACAACTGCTCCGCTCTTGACGTTTTAAAAGACTTAACAGTCAAATGTTTAAACGAAAAATTGGCGCTTGGAGTAACGAGTTTTACTTATCTGAAAACTGTTGATGAATGAAAAATTAATGAAAGAATTTACCATTCGAATTCATAAAACTTTCATAGCATAATATACTTAGAAACATCCGCAGATGTGTTCATACGGCGGTTATCATGGAACCTTCAATGTGACACAGTAGTGCCATTCCATGAAAAGCGGCGTATGGTCCCCAAGTAAAAGAATGCTTTTGCCCTAAACGAGAAAACAATGGGCGGAACTAAATAAAATGGAATTTTGAAAGGGGATCTGAGGTTATGAAGCCTGCACATCACAAAACCAGTTTACAAACCAGCGAATTTCTATACGTTGACCTTTGGTAAGACATGACTTAAATCAGTGATCGGAGTAGAGTATGATCATGTTACTACTTATCCTAGTAGGTATATTTGTTTACGTCATGATACGGCCATTCTGGTTTTCATATTCATCTAATTTGCATACTGAACTTCATAGGAAAACCATACTTTTAAGAAATGATATGTAATGTGAAATAAAACAAATGGTTCGACATGGATTAAAAAAAAAAGACACCGAACTATATGAAGTTTAATGTCGTCTATACATATTTGTTATCCTGAATAACATTCATTCTGACTTACTTTTACATTATACATTAAAGAATCTTTTTATTTATTTTATATTATATTAAATTGTTCAAGTACCAACTATAACAACGATATTTGTACATTATCAATACTTTACACACTGACAAGTTATCTTTAAATGAATACCGATAGATAACCTAAATTCTAAATTTGTCTCGGGTGAGGTTAATGTTCAAGTGGTGACGTCGAAAATTTTACTGATAAAAATGCTATTCATCTTTAAATGACGAACAATACGTGTAGATTTTTGTGGACGTAAAGGTTAATTAGAGGAACAGTTTGATATAAAAAATATTGTTTTAAGATTTCTGCATGTAGAGAAGCAAGCGACAATTAAGGTAAATTTATTCAACCTTATTGCAAATTATATTATATTAATCTTCTTAACATTTCATTTATTTATTTACTTTTCATTCTTTGTTTTTATTTTTTAATTAATTTAAAATACATATAAATACCCTCAAAATGGGACAGCGTCAGTTTCTTAAACAATTGAAATAAATATCACATCTCTGTTAAAAAAAGTGTAACAAACTACACATTTTTATTTGACATATCTGACTACATTGTGGACTTTGAGGATAAATATTTTGTTTGTTTGTCTTGTATTACATTGACCCCTTATTTTAAACTTACTGGAATTGCACTAGGCATGTTTCTCGTTTAGTGAAACATATCGTAACCGGACGTGTAAACGTAAAAGCGATTTTTACCCTATAGGTTGTCTTAATATGAACGACACAAAACATTATTATTACCATATGGGAAAAGGTAAAAACATGTATTTATATAAATATTTTTCCTTAAAAGTAAGTAAAGAAACGCATACCGGCTCACATAATGTTTTTTATTCAAAGAGTTCAATAAATTCAGTATCTTCATACCATTCAATACACTCTATTGAAATATGGGAGATCAGTAATCCGATAATTTATTTATAAGTAAATAAAACAGTATACAATATTAGAAAAAGATATATCATTGTCGCGTACAAATACTTCTATTTAACGTATAATGGACATCGACACGAACATCATAAGACTTTGAATCTGAGTCTTGTAAATAGGTAAAAAAAATACTTTGAATAGTTTCCGTTATATTTATAGGTGAAACGAACAGTTCTCTTTCAATTCATAGAGAAACCGAGAAGTTCGTGTTCATCTTTAAAGGACAAACTCGTTAATTTTACGCTCATCATGTATACTTTGATCTTTTATTTTAAAAAACTTTTATTAGCAAGTTTAAAATGAATAACATAGTTTTTGTCTCATTTACAACTATGTTTTCATATTTTATATGATCTATTTTAATTATTAATGTATAACTCGTCTTTTCTTGTCATAACAATAAGTGTGTAAATCTTTCTATCATCTTCGTATGTTGTTTTAAGGACATCAAACATCATTTAAGATCCATACGCACAAGAAAATAAATGGTTTAAATGAAAGAAAATGATAAAAAAAATTTGTTATAAGAGACATAAAAAAGGTTAACAGTTCTTAATAACCTTTAAGTAAAATATCAATGGAAGAAACAGAATTTCAGAAATGCCTTTATTTTTAATTATCTAAACATATACTATTTACAAAAGTAATAGTATTTTTTTTTAAATGCATTATATTAATACACTTATCTAAATGGCGCAAAATGTAAAGCATCGTGTGGATAAGATTGTCTTTAAAAGTTCTCTGTTCAGCACCGAATTACTGTTTGCCGTTTTGATTTATTATATACTTATATATTTATTTCCCCTTTGACAAAATATCTTTCTGTTGTTTTACTGTTAAAATTATGAACAACTGCATTTTGTGTAAAAGTCGGTGAAAATGTCGATAATTGAGTAAATTACAGATAGAAAAGTTAGTTTATGCTTATGACTTTTTTCAGATTAAATATCGTCGAATCAGAGTATTTGATTCGCTCTTCTGCTTCAAAATTTAATTTTAAATATTTAAATAGTTTTAATAGTTATCGCGAATTGTAAAATGCTAGGCAGATAAAATATATATTTTTCATGTGACACAATTATTGCGTGTTCAGTAGGCAAAATGCTAATTATAAGAAGTTATACGGACAAATTTGATTTGCACCATTCGATGCTTATCTCATTAAACTCAATCCTTCACAGTTTCCGTCGGTTTTTTTTATTTGTTTTGGTCACCAGACCAAACAAATAATGGTAGCGAATTTCAGAGCCCGATGTTCTTATTTGCAAATGCCTAAAGTAGTCCAAACTCCTCAAAGCGGTTACTTCCCTACAAATGTACATTAACACCGAAAAATTCAGGGGAGATCACTGCGTAAAGATTGTCAAATGAGAGGCGCATTAATTTTCTTAATGAATAAATAGTTCCCGATTGGCCGAAGATTTCTAATATTGTGTTGTTCTTAAAGGTATACATGCTTACATTCAGCTCCATGATTATTTACTTCAGTGTTAAACAACAGGCAGGTTTACCGTGAACAAAATATATCGAAATTAATAAGGGTAACAAACTCTAATTTAGAATAATATGGTATTCTTCATGCTGTTATAGCCCCCCGTGGTCGAGGGGTTTACACGCTCGCTTTGGAAGCGAGAGGACTGGAGTTCAAATCCCAATTCAGGTAACGCGGTTTTTTAAGCCAAATAAACATTGAATTGAATATCAGTGCAGTGTTGCAATAAGTCTTACTATAGCATTGGTGACACTATACAAACAAATTGGTTTATAATTTCACAACCTTCACCTTTCTGACATTCTGAGTCCCAAACAAATTCAGCACCTTCTGTGCTTTGATTTTGTTCTGTAAGAGAGGCATGTTAACAAGTGACGTGAGCGAGAGATTTATTGTACCATATAAGCCTTCGTAATAGCGTCATATAAATGTGATAGGGGTATAATTTTGAAAGCGATAACCATTTTATTACGTTCATAATTTCTCTTGCATCAACATTAAAGGGAGTTAAGCTTGAAATATTATTATGTACATTTATTACAGGCCTTGAGTAAATTGAGAATAGGCTATCTATAGACGTTATCTATGAAAGGAGGCGTACATCCGAAGGTCACTTTGTTTCGTTACATTTAAGAAAAGGATATATATCTTATTATTGATAAACCTTATTTAAAATCTCGGAAGTTTTTCTGAAAATAGTGATACCTCACAATAAAAAGGTTAAATATTTTAACATAAACCTCATGACTTGTTTTGGTTATTTCTATATGTTTTTTCATTTGCGTGTTTAAACATGCATTTGCTAAATCTGAAAGGAAATTATGAGATTGAAATTCTTTTATGTTATTGTTCACTCAACGTAACGTCAACACACAGACATTTACGTGTTTAATAAATGGAATTGTAAGGAAAGTATAAGTTAGTTTTGTATTGATCACGCTTAATAACGTCATGGAAAGTTACTTGTGTAAGTCATAATACTTGGTACTTTTAGATAATACAACATTTTTACCCTGCAATAGTACTCTACTGTACACTACTTAAAAAAACATAATCGATGGCTCAATGACAAGGAGCTGATTACTAGGTTTTACCTTGTCCTATATTCAGTTCAACGCTTGAGAAAAACAAACTAGAACCTGCTATTCATAGACGTTTTCCTCGAAAGGAAGTAAATTAGATTTTTTTTCTAAAAGATTAAGTGTCCGACTTTTTTTGTTAAACTGTAATGTAACTACTATTAAAGGGACTCCACTGAGTTTTTTGACATGATTGGACTTACAAATTGTAAAACACTGACCCAAAATGAAAAACGTTTAAACACTTTTCACAGAAATCGGGCTAAGAATAGCCGAAAAATACGATTTTCAAATTTTTTTAAGTATATTTCTTAACTATCTTTGCATATATATTTCTGTTTAAAGTGCCAAACTCATTTATGTAAGAAATTTAAATGTTATGTGTTTAAGCCTTTAAACCTCCGTCGAGTCCCTTTAAGGAAGCTTAAGATAGGTAAGAAATATTTGATTTAACCGTTTTCTTTTTCTTGGATATAAATATCTGAATTTTATATATATTTCATGGATATGTGTGAAATTCCTTTCTGGGATTTTTTATCTACAAAAAATTCCCCTATTTATTAAATTTTTTTTCTTAATATAAATATGCACGGTTTCTTTAAAAAAAAAAAAGCCCCAAAATTAGACTCAAGTTTAAATTGTTGACCTCGAACGACCCTTAAAAATTCAATGTGTATAAAATTTTTTAAAATCTAATTGTTAAACTATGAAAAAAATTGATTTGTAAAATGTAATGTAATTCATTTTACCCAAATATTTAAAAAAGGATAATTTTCTGGGTTATCAATAGCATACAACGTTTAATGACGTGCTTGTTAAGCTTTTTATATTTACTGCAAAGTTTACATGCAATGTCATAAGTGTACATGAAGTACAGTGTACATGCAGTGCCTCGAGAGTTAATGCATTGCCGCGAGAGTATATGTAGTGCCTCCAGGGTAAATGCTTTGTCGCGAGTGTACATACAGTGCCGCGAGAGTAAATGCAATGTCGCGAGTGTACATGCAGTGCCGCGATAGTTAATGCATTGTCGCGAGTGTACACGCAGTGCCGCGAGAGTTAATGCATTGTCGCGAGTGTACACGCAGTGCCGCGAGAGTTAATGCAGTGTCACATGTGGACATACAGTGCCGCGAAAGTTAATCTAGTGTTGCGAGTGTACATGTACATGCGGTGCCGCGAGAGTTAATGCAGTGTCAAAAGTGTCCATGCAGTGCCAGGAGAGTTAATGCAGTGTCGCGAGTGGACATGCAGTGCCGCGAGAGTTAATGAATTGTCGCCAGTGTACATGCAGTGTCGCGATAGTTAATGCAGTGTCGCGAGTGTACATGAAGAACCGTGTGCATGCAGTGCCGCAAGAGTAAATGCAATGTCGCCAGTGTACATGCAGTGTCGCGAGTGGACATGCAGTGCCGCGAGAGTTAATGAATTGTCGCCAGTGTACATGCAGTGTCGCGATAGTTAATGCAGTGTCGCAAGTGTACATGAAGTACCGTGTGCATACAGTGCCGCAAGAGTAAATGCAATGTCGCCAGTGTACATGCAGTGCCGCGATATTCAATGCAGTGTCGCGAGTGTACATGCCGTGCCGAAATAATTAATGTTTTGCCGCTATTGAACATGAAGTACCGTGAACATGTACTGCCGCGAGAGTTAATGCAGTGACTCAAATGTACATACAGTGTCGCTAGAGTTAATATCAATGTCGTGAGTGTACATGCCATGCTGCGAGTGTATATGTAGTTTCGCGAGTTTACAGGCATTGCCACGAGAGTACATGCAGTGCTGCAAGTTTATAGGCAGTTTCACGAAGTTACAGGCACTGCCGCGAGTGTACACGTAGTACCACGGAATTAAATCTCTTACAGTGTACATACAGTGCCGCGGGCGTACATGCAGTACCGCGAGTATACATGCAGTGCCGCTACAGAAAACACAGTTCTGCGACACAAGACGAAATGCCGCGAGTGTACATGTAGTGCTGCGAGAGTACATGCAGTGCTGCGAGTGTACATGCTGTGTGGCGATCGTACATGTCGTGCCGCGAAAGAACATGCAGTGCCGCGAGAGTATATGCCATGTCGTAGCAAAAATAATTCATTGAAACGGCATATTAGTATTTCCTTGCAACTTTAAGGAGATACCAAAAAAAAAATTTCGACAAAACATAGCATTTCTGAGGCATGATGGGTCTTTAATATAAAGAAGATTTAAATGATATCAAAAAGAAATTTTGTTCGTATTATTCCAAATTCACCATGAGTACTAAGTGTTAATTTCTTGTGGCTTTTCAATGAAAAAAAGAAACATTATGAGTTACTTATTAGAATGTTTAAATGTTTCCAAAGCATGCAGAAATAATACTGTTATTAATATATCAATCAGATAAATTTTCTATAGATCAGTATCCTTTTAGCGGTTTTTAATATAAAATTATCAATTTTGCAAATAAAATATATATATTTAGAATTGATTATCAATCGTCAAGTCATAATGTGTCATCAAAACGCGGAAAAGGACCGAAACATTCAGGGGCCGATTTTTGCATAGGGCCAGATTTGGTTTTGGGCCGAAACGTCCAGTTTGTGTTTGAAATTACGTTGTGTTCAATAAACTTGAACAATACCATAACACAATTACTGTGACAAATGGGCTACATATATTAATTATTTTGGTATTTTTTCACAATAAAATTAAGATATAAAAACTATTTCTTACATTACGAATGAAGTCTTCTAATTACTTTCAACTAAGAACAGACATAATTTAAACTTAATGTTTAATACATGTTTATGTTGTTTTATAGAAATGGCCGTATCAGGACGTAAACAAGTAGACTTGCTAGGATCAGAAGCAGCAGGATCAGCAGAAGACTTTGATCACTGTTGTGAGCCGTGTCTTACCACAGATCAACGTATAGAAGCCCACGGATTTTGCGGCACATGTCAGGAATACCTTTGTGGTACCTGTCTTGATTGTCACAAAAAGGCAAAACTTTCCCGAAATCACAATATTCTTTATAAAGATGAATTAGATAAGTTGCATTCAAAGCAGCAATCATACAACGAATGTACAGAATTATGTTCAGCTCATAAAAAAGAAATAATTAAATTTTATTGCCCATCCCACAAAGAGCTCGGGTGCAATGATTGCATGACTTTAGGCCACAGAACGTGCAAAATTGAGTACATTCCTGATAAATGCAGAGGCATTGCAGATGGGAAGGAATTCGATAACGTCATGCAAAAACTCAGCGGAAAACTTAAAGAAGCAGAAAAAATCTCTCAAATGGCTAAAGAAAGAAGTAATGATATAAATGAATGCAATAAAGAAATAATCAAAGCAATAACAGAATTCCGAAAAGAAATAAATGACCGCCTTGATCAGATGCAACAAGATGTTTCAAGAACTGCTGGAGCCATTAAGACGAAGAATAATAGAACCGTTCAGAAGGTCCTTGATGAATGTGCAAGTATGATTTCTGATATAAAACGTATGCAATCAAAGCTAGATATAAGCAAATCAAATAATCAGAATAGTCAACTCTACATTGACATGAAGCGGGCTGAGTCTACACTGAAATCAGATGAATTAAATGATGCAGAATATCCTTTGATAAATACCAATATGCACTACTCATTTGAGCAAAATTCTGACCTTGAATCATTGTTGTCTAAAACAATGGTCTTTGGTGAGATTGTCAGTCATTCTTGTTATGAATCAACACAAAAGATGAAATCTGTTGATTGTCTGATTGTGAAAGGGGTTATCAATGATAAAACTTCGTCAGATACAAAGGAATGTAATATTACAGGATGTGCTGTTCTCAACACAAATAAACTAGTTCTAGCTGATCGTAACAACAAGAAGGTAAAATTGATAGAGAACAGACTTGTACAAGAAGAGAAAGCTCTAGCCTCGCGGCCAATTGATATTGCTGTACTGTCTCAGGATCTGTTCGCTGTAACAATGCCGCAAATCAAAGAAATAGTTGTCATGACAACAGATGACAAGCTATCATGTGACCGCAGCATTAAAGTGAATAGGAAATGTTATGGTATAGACTTTAATCAGGATTGTCTTTATGTTACTTGTTTGCATCCTCCTAGTGTGATTGTACTGAATACACAAGGTGATATTCTGAATAACATTCCTCTGACCTTTCTTACATCTTACTATATCCCATATATTGCTGTGAGTAAGGATTCCAAACTTCTGTATATCAGTGATCATAATAACAACAGTGTAGTGAGCGTATCATTACAAGGGGAAGTTATAGCTACATATAAGCATACAAATCTTAGTGGACCATGGGGAATGTTGGTGTTAGACGACGGGTCATTACTTGTCTGCTGTTCTGATAACGGAACAATTCATAAAGTCAACGGAGACTTGAAACAAGGAAGTATAATGTGTGAAGGTTTAACCTGTGCCAGTTCAATATGCTACAGTGTCCATCATGATGAAGTCTATGTTGGTTGTTTGGGTATCAATCTGAAAGTTTTTAGCACAAAATAACGAATAAAGATACCGTTTACTAAGCTCACTTTAGTACCAAATGGTGTTAATATTCATCCTCCAAATATATGTAAATTGAAAATTTGTGCTACAATTTTTGTTCATGTACCATGTAGTATCTATCTATCTTTAAAAATCAATGATAACTGATTGCAATTCATGGGTAAATGTCGTTTAAAATTAATCATATTTTAACCTTTTCAGTAAAACACATATTGAATATTTTAATTGGTTAACATCAATATTTGTCCATAGACTGCATGTTAGAAACAACACTGAAATGAATATTCATTCTTTTGTCATTCATATAAATATCAAGTAAGATTATCATTCAAGCAAAGAAAATACTACAAATAAGTGCAACCTCAATTTAAAGACACTGAATAATAAAATGGTTGAAAATGTATGTATGTACGTTTGTATGAATGTATGTATGTATGTATGTATGTATATATATATATGTATGTAGTTTGTATGAATGTATGTATGTATGTATGTATGTATGTATGGATGTATGTATATATATATGTATGTACATATGTATGTCTTTACATACTTATTTACTTACTTACATATTTATATATATAAGGTAAGATTTGTTCAAAAATTTCTTTGTTTTGCTTTAAAAAAAAGTAAAAAGTCGAGCGTTGCCCCCGCCCGGTTGTGGCTCTTGTTTAAATTGAATTAACAAAAATATAATAAATTTAATTACACGTATGATGGTATGTCTTGGAAGTGTCACAAGCACCCTATTTCACTGTATTTTATTCAGTTTTTGTTCGACTTTCCGACTTTATCTCAATTTACTGTATCCTAAAGAAACACTGATGTATGTACATGTACATATTTGAAATTACATCTATTTCTATCTGTTGTACGCTTTTGTAGTTATTTACCCATACCTATTTAACTACCAGGCCAGAAATGACACCTAGATGTAGCGTGATATAATAAAAAGAAGCCCAAGTAGTAGCCCAATTTTAACATTTTGTTGCTTAGCTGTCTTTTTAAGATAAGATCTGTAACTTACGAAACCAAATATGTTTGTATGAATAAAGACGTAGTCGTGATACAAAGTTTTGAAATATTTTATCTGCATAGCAGGAAATAAATAACATGTTGTTCTAAAAAGTTGCACGTACATGTTTTTAAGTTTGACCTTCCGAAAAATAAACATTATAAAATGAACTAATTTTTATAAAAATTGCTCGTCTTATGTATGCCATATTATACGTTATGGTGGATTTGAAAATATTCAAAGATGGAAACCATGGAAACTTGACAATTAAAAGACGTTAGGATGTTGGTCACATGTCAAGTTTTTTAATGTTTACTTGACGTTGATACCATTTCGTCCCCATAGCCGACACCCCCTATGGTCGACTTCAATCACTGACCACTTTCCGCTTTGGGTTCAAATTAAATATGAAATTGCTGATAATTTGCCATGAAGTCTAATCTTAAAATGTAAAATAAGCATCTTTAGAGTACATGCAAAGAATAAATAATTTAACATTTTTAAATTTTTGTACACCACAGATCACCACCTTGAATACATATTAGCATTTAAAAGCAGTAATGTGTTTTTTTTTTTTTTTTTTTTTTTTTTTTTTTTTTTTTTTATCAATTTATTGCAAAACATTGGTAATTTACATTTTTGTCTATTCGAAGAATAATATTTTCTTTTCTCTGTAAACAAATAATGGACTGATAATCTGGATGATTTCCTATAATTAGGTAGCTTTTTCAGACATCATAATATGGAAACAGTCTAAAAAGCCCAGAAAATGATGACGTATCGCATTCAGCTTAAAACACGTTGTCCATCTTTTTAAAGGGTTACCTTTTTGCATTTGACGAAACTGCACCAGCGTAGGGACCATAAATTATTCTAGTATAATTTATTCAGGATCGTTGTAATTTCAAATGCTTTACATATTTTCTTCTTCGCTTTTACCCGGATACACGTTTTTTCGAATTTACACTCGCGTACAGCGAGTATTGAGCGCTGATTGCCAGTGCGACGCTACTGAATTTAGCTATATGAGAACGCTTCCCTTTTAACACTATTATTAAAAAAGATTTTACCCAATCACCACTGCGTCACATGTGCTGACTTTAGACAAACGATTATACATTTGTTTAGACGCAATATTTTAAGATTTTTATATACAATTGTAAGAGCCAGCACAAAAAATCTTACGATACGTTTTTTCACTTACGATAATCGTAAGTTAAATTTTAAGTCATTTTCACAAAGTCACTTGTAAGTTAAATTTTTATCTTAAGATAAAAAATTCATTTACGATAAATCTTACGACAAAAACATCCCTAGCAACGTTCATTTGATAGTGATGTGCATGCTCTATATTTAATTCCGGTTTTAAAATCAAGTAAACAATAGCTTGAAATATCTATTGTACACAATCAAATTCAATCAGAACAAACTGATATAATTTAAATCTTGATTGAAGAGAATTATAAATATCTAAATGATTCAGAAAGAAGGTCTACTATGTTATTAATAAATAAAAAGGTACCACTAGTACATGCTGGCAATGAAAACGAACTCACCAAATGTACAAATTATTAGTTTCCAATAATACTACAGTATAGTTCACATTTAAGCTATTCATAGCCCTCTCCATCGTGACGTCATCAAGTCATGACGTCACAAATGTTTATGTTGAAAAATAAATATACCTCAATTTGTGTAATTTATAGCATACTGTTTGCTTAATATATATTTGTCCTCCAACTTTTTGTCTTTTTTTATTCAGTTTAGGTAAGAGATACATGATATAATATAACCCTTAAGAGAGAAAAAATTACACTTGAAAACGAACGGGGAAGACCTATGGTAAAGTTACGACAGATTTTGCACTTAAGATTTTCTTAAGATTTTTTTGTGAAAAGGAGATTTATCGTAAGATTTCTCTTACGACAAAAAATTGTCGTAAGATTTGTTGTGAAAATGTCTGCAGAAACGGAACTTTTTTAGACGATTTCCGCAAAATAAAAGGACGCCGGAGAAATGCACTCGCTTAACAAAAAAAAAAAAAAAATACAAAGAAAAAACATTATAAGTTATTAAAGAAATATTTACACCATAATTTGCCGATGGTTTCGGGGCCTTTTTTATTATATTTCTTGTCATTTAGTATTTTAACGTTAGTCAAAATACTACTATCACATTTTGCTACTGTAATTACAAGTCATTTCACATTCATCACAGCTTTCTTCAGGTAACATTTGACTCAATTTGACTTAGTCCTTTCCAAATAACAAATTCGTTCGCAGCCATTTTACGCTTGCGTAAAACCTCACTTGTTTTATTTTCAATGGTAGGATACTACGTCATCGCGCACCTTCTGAATACTCACATTGCATTAAATTCGTCAACTCGAAGGAAAAAGACAATTTTATCATATGAAATAGTAATACTATTAAAAAATCATGTAGAGCACCAAAGAATGGCTATAGAACTTGAGATAACTGTAAAATAGTTTATACGTTCATTACCTGGTTTAGGACTGAAAACGTGATACCGGAAAGTGTTTTTTCTTTGAATGCTCTCACTCGGACTTTTCCCGCAAATATAAGAAATAAGGTTGAAAACCTTCTTGAATATCATTCTAACGTACCGGAACATAAACCGAGTCATATTTACATAATTTTCTAGATTGGTGTAAAATATTTATATTTAAAAGACAGTTTTTCTTTTTATTTTTTCTTATAAAAAGGAAAAGGCTCCCACTCTGACTCGATTTCAGAGATACTCCCACTCGGACCAATATATATATATATATATATATATATATATATATATATATATATATATATATTTATTACCCTTCCAGATTTTTTCCTCCTTTTTGATTTGATATTGGTCACCCGAAAGAAATTGATATTACCGAGCCAGACGGGTAATATACACACTAAATTTCCCCGTTGGATACCCCACGTTGTAAACAACTTGCGCTATGGCGATGCGCGTACGGTTTGATTTTACGCGATGTAAAACCCGATTTACAAGCACTTTTTAACTGTCAAATGATAAATATTTACCAAAATAGAGTAATGATACATATTGTCATCAGTAGCCATTACACATTGATTATTACTTTACTTTTTGAAGATTCTGTTGGGCTCGTACACAGCATCAAATCCTTTATTTTATTCGTTCAGTATTGTAGATTGAAGACAAATATGTCAATATATTGTAGATTGATTTACAGTTTTATTCCCTATATGTATTTATACGTGTGTTTCATTAAAATAATCATTTGTGCAATAATCATAAATGATATATAAATATGAAAGGTTGGCGGTCTTTAGAAGGATTTCTTCTGTAAATGAAATATTTCCTTAGATTTCACCTCGTGGGATATCCTACATATACATGTTTTAGTACTTGAACCAGACAACACGTCATGGCACTCATCCTACATACACTGTAGTAGTATTACATATGCTTTCATCTTAGCATTTGCGTCAACAATTTTGTAATCTTGCTATGTTGTAACTTGATGTGTGGACTATTCTACAGTTTGTTTACTAGACACAAGTATAGCTTTCGTTCTCTTATGTTTTTGATATTTTACATATAATGCTCTTCGATAGCCTGAAAATAGCTAAAAGTTAGATATATAACTCATATTATATTAGAAAGATGTTGATTGAGCAGATATGTCTTTTTATGGGAAATTTTATTTGTCCGTATTTGCTTTTAATGGACAACATTTATTCAATATTTGCTGACATTAATATCCTGTTAATAATTTAAAACGCAATGACTTGCATGTTTGTAAAACTTGTTCATTTTAAAACACCATAATGGTACGTTAATGAACATAAAGAAGTCATTATCTATCGATTAATTTGAATAGTTTATTAAAGAACAACATGTAAATTATTTTTGTTATGAACTGGTTTTAAAAACAATGTACTGCCATACCATGGCACTTAAAGCATGTATCACAATTATCGACAAATTTGACAATTTTTAGTCTGAAAGTTATCATATGTACGTATTTTACCTAAAATAACAAAAATATGAAATAAAATCAGAAAACAATGTTAACAGTTATTTCTTTATCACGGTCTTTACTATATCTTGGTAATTAAATGTCATTAAAATAAAAACAATTATACAAGAAGCAGTCGCAGACAATAAAATCCCCCGCCAAAAAGAAGGAAATACATTTCAAAGGAGAATTAATCGTTACATACATGTAAAAATCCCAGTAATGACACTCGTGAAAAGTAATTAAACGTTTAAATTGATAGCCTAGACATAATAAATTATGACAATAATAACACTCTCATAAAAAAACAATGAAAACCCAAACAACTAAAGAAGCATTAAGTAAACACTTTTGGTCCATATGCTCTGCGATTCACCTCTATTAAACATGTTCAATTTAAAGTTTCAATTTTGTATCTCAAATACCTTTAGAGCTTCGATCCATTCAAACTTATCATAGTAAATACAAAAGAGCAATAACTCCAAAACTGAAGGGTTGTCGTTCTTGTTTGTGGTATTTTACTTAACCGTTACCTATCCTCGAGTGAAGTATCAAATAAATTGCATTAATTGTCTAATCCTTAATGACATATTGTCCAAAAAATAACGCAAAAACTGAACAAAAGACAATTACTTAAAATAGCTATTATTCTTGTGTGTTTTTGAGTATTCCTCATCACTGAAATAGTTTGTAATTAAAATATTGTTCCAGCTTTTTGCGTGCCAAGATGCCCTCCCTCGGCTTTTTACGTCACAAGTGGTTTATCCCTTTTTTCCCTTTAGGGCAACACAAAAAAACCAAAAAACAAAAGTTAAATTAAAAAAATAACAACTTTTTTTTATTTCAGCGACTCGATTTAACGAGGGAT